TGTGTGTGTGTGTGTGTGTGTGTGTGTGTGTGTGTGTTTATTTTGTTTTTAAAGATAATGTCAAGCTGGATTTCATTTTTTTAATTTTCTCAAAAACATATCAGATCAAACAAGATGAATTAAGTTTCTCTTTGTGTCCGTTTTTTCAGCATCTCTATCATTCTCATATTTTGTCCTTAGTAAAAACACAAACCTAAAGATATTTCTAATCATTTCCTGAACTTGTCATTAATGCTCTTAACATCAATATGACGTCAGCAGGACGATTCTTAACCTGTGTTATTTGAGAACGTCCTCTAAAGCTGCGAAGGCCTTGATATCTGGTTATAAGTTTCTTATTTTATCCTCCAAGTGACGCTGTTGTCTGATGAATCTGTGGGGTTAGGTTATTCCTTTTAAAGGCAGATTTTTTTTCCTCCATCCTCCCTGCTTTGTACATCAGCAGATGATCCGTGTTTCCTAAACGCAAAGAACCATCCAGCATTTGAACTCTGTGAATTTGCTCCTCTCTGAGCTGAAATCGTCATTCTTTCAATATATTTGATTTTTTTTAATTATTTTATTTTGTTATCAATCTAAACATGGAGCCCGCGGAGCGGAGCGGAGACAGATGGGTAAGATGGCGAATGCGACGGATGGTGAAGTTTTTTGTTTTTCTGTCACTTTTTCTTCACCCAACAAAAGCACAGATCCGGTACTCGGTCCCCGAGGAGCTAAAGGTAGGATCTCTGATTGGGAATATCGCGCAGGACCTGGGCTTGGATCTGAGAAGGCTCCGGTCCGGCCGGSCCCGCATCGTGACGGGAGAAAACATCCAGTACACCGAGCTGAGGACAGACAAAGGGACCTTAGTGGTGAAGGAGAGAATCGACCGAGAGCAGCTCTGCGCTGATGTGACGCCGTGCAGCTTCGCCTTTGAAATCTTACTGGAAAATCCCATGGAGCTACATCCCGTCACCATAGAGGTTCTGGATGTGAACGACAACGTGCCCACGTTTCAGAACTACCACTTGGAATTTGAAATAAGCGAATCGGCAGCGCTCGGATCGCGCTTTGTTTTAGAGAGCGCGGAGGATGCTGACGTTGGACAAAATGATCTGCAGAATTACATTTTGACTCCGAATGAGAATTTCGTTTTGAAACAACACGTTAAACCAGACGGGAGGAAATACGCTGAAATGGTTCTTCAGAAAGCTTTAGATAGAGAGGAGCAGCCACGCCTGTCTCTGAAACTGCTTGCTGTTGACGGTGGGAACCCACAGAAATCTGGTACAGCAAATATAGATATCATTATTCTAGATGTTAATGATAATGCTCCGGTATTTAATCAATCTGTATACAAGGCAACAGTGACAGAAAATGCGCCAAGGGGCACCTATGTTGTTACTGTCAATGCAAGTGATATAGACAGCGGCTTAAATGGGAAAGTAACATATTATTTGTCWAATTTAAAGGCAGGAATGGCTGATTTGTTTGATATTGATGAAGTTAGTGGGAAAGTGTTTGTAGCAAAACAAATTGATTTTGAAAAAAACAAGAAAATTGAGTTYATAGTTGAAGCAAAGGATCAGGGTAGATTAACAGATTCAAGCAATGTTGAAATTGAGGTTATAGATGTAAATGATAACTCCCCAGTTATTAATGTGATGTCATTCACCAGTCTTGTCTCAGAAGATTCTCCTGTTGGAACCACAATTGGCATAATTAATGTAAAAGATCTTGACTCTGGCAAAAATGGACAAATAACAATCGGGATCGAAGGAAATGTTCCATTTAAAATCAAGTCTAATGTCAGAAATTACTACGCAATTTTAACAGATGCAGAATTAGATCGTGAAATAGTTTCTGATTACAACATCACCCTTATTGCAACTGATTCAGGCTCACCTCCTTTATCAACTAAAAAACAGTTTAATCTAAAGCTGTCAGACGTCAATGACAACCCCCCTGTATTTTCGCAAATCATTTACAGTGCAACAATAGTGGAAAATAACTCCCCCGGTGTGTCTGCTCTAAGTGTTACAGCTAAAGATTCTGATGAAAACCAGAACGCACGTGTTTCCTAYATTTTAGATGACAGAGAAATTAGTGGCTCTCCCATATCTCAGTATGTTTCAGTTAATTCAGAAACTGGAGTTGTTCAAGCTGTTCGTTCGTTTGATTATGAGCAGATCAAAGAGTTTCTTTTCATCATCAAAGCTCAGGATGGAGGCTCTCCTCCACTCAGCAGCAACGTGACTGTGAAAATCCTGATCCAGGACCAGAACGACAACCCCCCTCAGGTTCTGTATCCAGTCCAAACAGGTGGTTCTGTGGTGGCTGAGATGGTGCCTCGTTCAGCAGATGTGGGCTATCTTGTGACTAAAGTTGTGGCTGTTGATGTGGACTCTGGAC